AAAAGGACTGAACTAGCATGATCTCCAATGTATAAATGGCTAAGGCCATCTCCAATGTATGAATGGCTAAGGCCATCTCCAATGTATAAACGGCTAAGGCCATCTCCAATGTATGAACGGCTAAGGCCATCGACAGTATTATGGCTAAGGCCATCGTCGTCAACAAGTCGACCCAGCTCGACTACGACAAGCAAGTAATTCGACGACAGTCGAAGTTACGTACATGGCTAAGGCCATCGACAGTATTATGGCTAAGGCCATCGTCGTCAACAAGTCGACCCAGCTCAACTACGACAAACAAGTAATTCGACAACAGTCGAAGTTACGTACATGGCTAAGGCCATCGACTGTATTATGGCTAAGGCCATCGTCGTCAACAAGTCGACCCAGCTCGACTACGACAAACAAGTAATTCAACGACAGTCGAAGTTACGTACATGGCTAAGGCCATCGACAGTATTATGGCTAAGGCCATCGTCGTCAACAAGTCGACCCAGCTCGACTGCGACAAACAAGTAATTCGACGACAGTCGAAGTTACGTGTCGTCAACAAATTGACCCAGCTCGACTACGACAAACAAGTAATTCGACGACAGTCGAAGTTACGTACATGGCTAAGGCCATCGACAGTATTATGTCTAAGGCCATCGTCGTCAACAAGTCGACCCAGCTCGACTGCGACAAACAAGTAATTCGACGATAGTCAAAGTTACGTACATGGCTAAGGCCATCGACAGTATTATAGCTAGGGCCATCGTCGTCAACAAGTCGACCCAGCTCGACTACGACAAACAAGTAATTCGACGACAGTCGAAGTTACGTACATGGCTAAGGCCATCGATAGTATTATGGCTAAGGCCATCGTCGTCAACAAGTCGACCCAGCTCGACTACGACAAACAAGTAATTCGACGACAGTCGAAGTTACGTACATGGCTAAGGCCATCGACAGTATTATGGCTAAGACCATTGTCGTCAATAAATCGACCCAGCTCAACCACTACAAACAAGTAATTCGACGACATTCGAAGATACGTACATCCTGTCCGACTACGACGAAAGGCCAATTGGACTTAACAGTCGCCAATCCTGTCCGACTACGACGAAAGGCACTCAACTAACAATTGAAGTGATGCCATTATTAGCTAAAGCCACCACTATTTAGCGTCAAAGCCGCATCCTATCGGCGGATAACACAGACAACGTTTGAGAAACACACTGAAAATCCTACAAATGAGCATCTGCTCTGCGGAGATGAGGTACCAAAAATAAAAGATAAAAAAGGAAAAGAATGGCAGCAAAAGTACGGCTTTCATTATCATTCAAAAAATGCATGTACACCTGACCTTACAAAAGGTCCCATTTACATTCCAAAATAAAACAAAATAAAATATATACAAGTCCTAAGAGGCTTCGCCGCTTCGCCCGTCACCCCCAGCATGACCACCATTCTGCTCTTCGTCCCCCGCCTGACCGACATCTTGTTCATCGCTGCCCCCGGGTTGATAAGTTGCAGAGATCCAAGAGCCGGATTCTAGACGGTTGACGTCTTCGGAGTTATAGCCCGCCCGGTCTGGGGAATCAGAACTATACCCACAAGTTTCACGGGCGACGCTGGCTATGCGCCGTTGCTCCTGAACCTCCGCCTCAGTGGCTCGACCCGCAGCTAAGAACTCCTCGAATACGACCAATCTGGCCTCGGCGTATACCCACATATCATGCGCCTCACGATGCGCATCCTCATCAGGCCTTGGTGCAGCAGTCCGCTTAAGGACTTCAATCTCAGCCGCCTTGGCATCGAGTTCGGCGATCAAAACGGCGGCCTTGATCCGCAAATCAACAGCTTCCGCCGCTACCCCACGTCCAACCTCCAACTCTTCTTCCTTAGACTGGAGAAGAGTCTCCAGCTCAATGTTCCGAGCCAGAGCAGTCATCAGCTGCTCGTCGACCTGCTCCAGCTCGGCCACCCTCCGTTTCAATTGGGCCTCCGACTGTTCGAGCCCCTCACGAAACACCCGAAATTCCGGGTCCTGCTTGAGCAGGTCCGCCAGCGCCCGATGCTTGGTGCGGCACCGTTGGTATTTCTTCGCCATCTTGTTGAAAGTGGCTGCCTTCTTGTGCGCCCGCCGCCTCCTCTCCACCTCCAAAATGAGAGTCTAAAAAGGAGAAGAAAAAGAGAAAAGGCAGGTCAGTACGCATCACAGTTAGCCCTACGGCACACAGAGAAAACTGAAAGCTACCTGCAAGGCCGCGCCAGCGACCCTCCGTGATAGGTCCCCGTCGCTAACACCCTCTAACATTTCACGCTCAGTAGCCGCACATAACAGGGTCATATCCGTTGCAGCCTGCTCGCTGTGTTGCAATAGGTTATACCCTCCTGGGATCATAATTCGGCGGTTAGACCTACCCGCCGTCATCTCCACGTGGGCTGGACCCCTCGTCAACCCATCTGCATCTCCACGGGCGGCCTCAGTATCCGCCCTTGCGACACCATCGCCCACTTCTTCAACAGCGGCCGACGAACCGCTCTCCGGAACACGGGCTGGGCTGGCATCGGCAACAACTCTCCTTTGTGGAGCCAACCTCCCAGAATGGAAGCATCGGCCATAAAAATCAGCCTCGATACTTGACGAGGTTCACTTACCCTCTCGTCTTCAATCGCTATCCCCTTGCCCGTTATCAACCGCCGCCTCTTTCTCTCTGGCGGCTCCTCACCTTTGGAAGTCTCCTCCGTAAGCCGCGGGGACGGCACTGAAGGAGTTGCTTCACTTGCAGACCCCGCCATAGGCACAGCCTCCTGCTGAGGAACCTCTGGAGCGCCGTCGCCGAACGAGCCGCAGGGTATCTCTTCGCCATCAGAGTCGGTCTTCGCCCTAGGCGAGGCAACAACGGCCTTCTTCTTCTTGGGGGCACTCCGACCTGCCAACACGAGTAAGTTAGGTAACAGAATCTAAGGGAGTTTCCAAACCAAGGCCGAAGAATTACCTGACGGGCCGTACTGTTGAAGAAATGCAGCCCAGGTACGGCATTCCTCCGCATAAGGTAGTAATCTTTCCACCCATGATTTAATATCATCAATAAACTGGGGTGGAGAAGCCCTCGCTACAAAAAAAAAGAGAAAAGAATGAAATCACAGTGGCCAAATGGTCAAGGTCGCGAACAGTAAGAGATGGTGAACTGAGACGCCGCGCTCAGCCTTAGCCGCGTACGTGGTTAGAATCCTGCACACCTTCAAGGTGTAAGGAGTAAGCTGAGCCGGGCACACATTGTAAAAGCGGCAAAGCTCCTCCACTAGAGGGAAGATCGGGAGACTATAGCCGATCAAAAACGAGTACTCGTGAAATGTGCAGTACCCAGGCCTGTGCACATTGGCGTAGTCCATCCCAGCCGGAGCCATTTCCACATGGTCCGGAATGTTGTGTGTCACTCGAAGGTCGTCTAGATGAGATAGTAGTAAATCGCTATGCTCCCAGGGAAGGGCTGGACTTTTCGTTTGAAAACCCTTCGAATATGCATGTCCTTTGGGAGGATGTTGTCTACAGAAAGGGGAACGAGGGTCTTTTTTACTTCCTCCCCCTCACCGCCAGAGAAAGGCGGAACCCTAGATGGGTCAGTGTCCTTGGTCTTTTTGCCACCTTGACTACGTTTTACCATGATGATTCTGTTTGGGAAATAATGCACTAACGACGAGAAATATGACTTCAAAAGAAGTGGAGGAATCCCTCACGAAATAACGGTTACAGGAAAGAAAGACAAAGGAGTAAATCAGAAAATGCTTTCCGAAGGTTTGAAAGTTGAATCGAATCGAACCTCTCTCCTATTTATAGGGATAAGTTGCGCAGAAATCGAAGAGTTATGATTCAAAACGTGCGCGGGAAACCAAAATGTCACATCATCCTCTGAACCGCCTCGGGGTCAAATATAATAATGACGCATACAGGCGATGATAGCATTCCAAAAAGAAAGCCACGCGTCAGTGGCTCAACAACGTCATACATTTTACCTCATTCATGTTGCCGCCCCTGGTCGAGGTCAAATTCTCCTAAGCCGAGGTTTGCATTTCTGCCCATTGAAGACGCCCACCGAATGCATCTCCAACGAGCGGAGGGACTAACTGTATAGGGTCAAATTTGATCGTAGCGTCTCTACGCCAATGGGTACGCCCAGTGAGTATATGCCGACTAACGTAAGGGTATGACTCGGACATGGGGACAAAAGCGACATCGTTTAGGACTCAGTGTCTTCACTAGGAAAACATTACCTATTTTTGTAACTTTTTGATTATTTCGAGGAAGGTCTCTTATTATATAAGGGAGACCTTCACATTGTAAAAGGGGGGGATGATTCTAAAATAAGACAACTCTCTCATTTTCTCATACTCTCTCTCTATCACTATCTCTAACGAATACTTTCTCTTGAGTTCATATTATCACTGTTAGATCTACAACAACAACTTCATTTTTCATCTCTAGGTCTATTATATTTGATTACGATTTACCCTTTCTTACTTTTGATTGTTTTTAAGCTTGCAAAGTATATCGATAACTTTTGAGCAAAACATTGGCTTTGCTAATTAACCCGGTTTTTATTACCATTTAGCATTGTCAGTGTTGAGACAAAAGATGTAACTTGAATACAAGGGTAGTTTAGTCTATTTATGTGCTAGCAGATAAGTGTGTTAGTTAGTTAGTTAATGATACATGAGATTGGTTAGTGAGGCAGTTAGAGCAGTTAGTAAAGCCTTGTATATATATACATAGCCTGTATAAGTAATGAGATACAGAGTATTCATTTTGTCTACTGTTACATTTATCTTCACGCTCCTCTCTTCTTTCTTCTCTCTCATTAGTTAGGAGTTCCATCTCTTCTCAAACCTCCATTTCAGCATGGTATCAGAGCTCGAGCTCTGAGTGTCTTCTCCTCTACTTTGTCTTCTTCTCTGCAATCTCAAAATAATTTGAGATCTTATTTTTCTAATTCGAAGCTCCAAAGTACTTAACAATGGCGATTGATGATTTGGAACATGAAAATGCAACCGCCACAACTGAAAATGCATCACATGCATCCTCCAATGATGAATTTGAGGAAGGTATTTGTTTGCTCAAAAGTTATCACATACCTTATGAGTATAAAAAAACATAATTAAATCAGGGGAAAATCATAGCAAAACGTAATAATCCATTGGACCAAATGAAGGAAACGAAAATAAGTACTCAGAGTTAGGAGGAGAAACATTTAAATCCTTTATTGATGATGTGGATTTGGCCTGCCTCTCCATGGAGAGGTTCAGAGCCTTACAATGGTGTTCTACTCTCTCATAATATGGGTATCATTGTGTTTTTTCTCTTCTTTCTGGATAGTGACCAAGAAGAAGCCCCCCCATAATATGGCTCCCTCTCTTGGTATTTATAGTTGTGAGCTTCGTGAGCTGGCAATAAGTGGTCGTGACCACATTGGGGTTTTGCCTTCATGATGGCGGATGGGCCGTGGCCTTGTTGATCGAACCAGATGAGGGTTGAATATCGTTAATTCTGAGTGGCCGTGCCACTAATTAATCATGAATTATCTTAAGACGGGATTAGCTTCGTTAATTATCGTGGGGTCAGATTCTGACCCATACAGTTAGTCCCTCCGCTTATTGAGGTCGTGCCTTGGCCGATCTCGATGAGTGGATTTCATCGACTGTAGTTTGAGAAACTCGGATAGGGAGGTCGACCGTCGCTTCGGTCGAGGCCGAATTCTCTTTGGCGATGGCCCTTAGCCTTGTAGAGTGTTAGTGTTTTGTTATTGTGCTATCAAGTCGTCGTTCGATCAAGGTCGAACTCTCCTCCTTGGCGAGGGCGCTTGACCCTTTAACTTAATTCGAGTGAGGTCGAGCTTTGTTGTGCTCTGATCCTTACGTTTGTTTGGGAGCATAACCGTCGACCATGGTGGACGGGTCATATGTTGTGCAGCCGAAGGGAGTAGGGGTACGCTGGATACGTGTTTGGCGATGTCCATCGTTCTGAAGGCGCACGGAACATCCTCTCGGCGTTCATGGGTCGTTGCAACCATTTCGCAGGTGAGACGCCGGTTGGTGACTAAAAAGCCGCTTCACGGAGCCTGTCATAACGACGCGCGTTTCTGCAGAACCGAATCGGTTTGCGGTTGGTCATATAGTTAATGAAGGCTATTGGGGTTCGTGAAAGCCACTTGTGTTGCTTATAAATAAGGGCTGACTCATTCATTTTTTTTATATTCTCATTGTTTGTCTGAGAGAGATTCTGAAGAAGCTTTTCTTCCTGCTAATTCACCTTCATCTTTGTTCTTCGATTGATATAACTTCCGTCTTTGTCCCTCAAACTTTGTTTCTTTATCGTTATTGAATCAACAATGGCAGGTAGTTCTTCCCAAAATATTCTTCCGATGGATCTTCCGGTTAACTCTCCGGTGACTGAAGGGCCATCTCCAGCAATGGGCGGTGCAGAACTGGTGGAGACCGATGAAGCTCCATCGGTTGACGAGATAGTATCTCTGCCCGGAGGTCCGATGACTGATTTCTCCGCCGATGGTGGGGAGGATCAGGTGGATGAAGCCCCGTTAATGGGGGAGATTGGGATGGCCTAACTATGGGGACAGGGGGTCATCCCCAGCTATGCTGACGTCGTTCTCGCTAGAAGCGAGGAGAGGGTCCACACCGACCGTAGGGGATACTGCGTCTTTTACGCCTATCCCTTCAAGTTGGGGTTTAAGCTCCCGCTCCCAATGCTAGTGGTTGATTTCTGTCGTTATTATGGGGTATGCCCGGGTCAGCTTGCTCCTTCTCTTTACAAATTATTAGCAATGCTTATCAAATATGCAGAACTGGCCAGTAGGGAGGTCACGCTGCAGCATGTGCTTAGCCTCTACGCTCCCCAGAGAGTTCATGGTACCATGATTCGAGCGTGCCCTCGCGGGACGAGGGGCCTGACTATGAAACTGGATGATGAGGTCGACCCTCGCCCTTTCGAGCACTTCTTCTACATCAGGACTGAACATTTAGTGGCGTGCTCTACTGGGTTCCCAGAGGCTTGGAATCATGCACGTAAGTTCCTTAATCGTCGAATTCCCTTTTTTGCCCCTCCTTACGTCTTGTGCTCATAAACGTTAACTCGTATCAATTTTGTAGCCAAAAAGTTACCGCCGGCTTCGTTGGCTGGGATTCGTGAGTGGGTTGAGGCCGTGCTCCCCCATACAGTGGGGATACGCACATGGGCGTCTTTCTGGGAGAGGCATGGCCGTAGGCCTGTGGCAGGTAAGAAATTGATTTCTTCTTCTGTTCCGCTTTGTTTCAACTCTATTCATCAACTTTGTTTTTCTGTGATCAGGGAGGGCACGCCGCGTCAGGGCCCCTCAGTTGGCCTTCCGTCGGTCGGGTGCAATTGCTCGATTTACTACAGCGCCGGTGTCGCGCCCAATACCGAGGGCGGCATCAGTTGAATCTTCAACGGTTCCTTCTCCAGCACAGGCCGCACTTCGGGACGAGGGGCCATCGGGGGTTGTGCGCCCTAGAGCGGAATCGCTATCAGATGGGGAGGAGGAGAGGCTATTGATAAGGCATAGGGTCGTGTTCACGCCGTCTCCTCCTGTGGTAATTAATTTGGACTCTCCTCCGACGGATGCGCAGAGGAGTGCGGTCGCGGCGCCTGCCCTTGAGGGCGGACAGACAATGGGGGTTGCCCCGGCTGGCTTAGGCCATGATGATACCGCCGCTTCGGTGACTCAGTTGGTGGCTCCAGTCGCTAAGATGGGAGGTAGTTCCTCAGCGGCTGCTAATGTTAGTGAGTTAAGAACTCCTTTGGTGGCTACGGCGGGCGGTTCCACCTCGCTGGTGGCGGAAGGAGGAACGGATGCTGTAGAAGATGAGTACGAGTCCAAATCCGACTTGGACCCCGAAGACGTCCGTATGTTCCGGGAAGGCTTCACCAATCCAGTGGGGCGCGCAGAGGGGAGATCTCGCTTCATCGAGGTTCCCACGGAGTTGAACTTATTGCTCCAAGGGGAAAGCTTGGTGCCGCAGTTCGAGCTGCTATGCTCGGAGGCCGAGAATGCATCGTTGAGGGGCGTTACGGATGTCGGACTGATGAATGAAGTGGCTGTGATGGGCTTGAGGGTATGTAATATAACGTCGGTTCGCTTCTTCGTCTTAGTTTGTTCTTCATCTTAATCGTTGTCTTTGCTTTGCAGTCTTATTTGTTAGAGGTGGAGAGCATCCGTCGAGCCAACGTCCGCTCGGGGATATTTTTGCGGGCGCTAGAGAAGTACCGCCGCTACCGAGATCGGTGCCGAGAGATGCGCGTGCGCTTGAGGAATGATCCCCGTAGTCGGACCTTGGTCGAGGAACTGGCAAGGCGGGAGCTTCAGATGCAGCAAGCACTTGGCAGAGCGAGTTCTCTCGAGGAGCAGCTCCGGCGGAAGGATGAGGAGCTCGAGGCGGGGAGGAGGGCTGCCGCTGAGTGTGAGCGCCAGGGCCAGGCTAAGGCGGCGGAGTCCGCTGCGGCATGGAGCGGGAAATGTGACTGCGTTGGAGGGTGAAGTCGTGGTATTGAAGCTTCAGGTGAGGGATGCCTCGTCGAGGGCTGGGGCGTTGAAGGAAGCTATCCGCGTGCACGAGTCCCAACGGGCGTTGGAGAGGGCTGCTGCGGCCTTTAGAGAAGCGAGTCTCGAGGAGCGGATCGGTGTCTTTGAGCAGGACGCCCAAGTCATGGCGGACCGGATCACAGCCTTAGAAGAAGAGAATCAGCGCCTACGGGATCAAACCGCTTCTTCCAGCCAGGCTCGCGAACTTTGGGTCTTTGCCGAGGCCCAACGTGATATATATAAGAATTTGTGGGAGGCCGGCATCGTGACTGAAGCTGCTTTCGAGGGAGCGCATCAAAAGGCTCGTGAGGCCCGTACCGACTGTGGTTTTGACGCGGCGACGCCAGAGGCTGACGCTGGTGCAGATGGTGGCGCGGATGGCGCCGAGTAAAAAGAAGTTATGCATTTTTTCTTGTTTTTCTTTTCTCTTTCCTTGTATTGATCGGCCTTGGCCGGGTGTAAGCGGGGAAGACCCGCAATTAACTTTGTAGATAAATGAGATCTCCTTTCCGTTATTTGCCTTGTGTTTATTTTGTACCTCCCCTTTTTCCCCTTTAGATTTTTCTTTGCATGCGTTCGAAGGGGTGATTTACCTTTGAGTTTGACTCTGGTAGGCATGTTAGTTTTTGATTGTTGACGACTTTTCTTCTTCGACTCGGGGTGAGCGAGTCGGAGCCGTTGCTTGGCGATAGCGGCACTTAGCCTTTAGTCTTAGTCCCAGTTCGGGCGCGGTCGAACTACCGACCGTGATGATAAAAAATGCTGCCTTGTAGTTTGACCGGGGCCGGACTTTACGTGCCCCCAATCTTAGTTGGGAGTGCTTACTTGAAGGGCGAGGGAGCCTAACCTGCGCCTCGATTCGTTGGAGGTTGGATTTTGCTGAGTTCAACGATGAAGGCGCTTGGTTCGAGTCCCGGTTCGACTGTGGTTGAACTAGTTAGATTTGAGGACGAAGGCGTCTAGCCTTATGGTTCGAGCGAGGTNGTCCCAAGTCACCGGCTTAAAATCCCGAATCGAGAAAGTTTGCCTCTATTTACGGTCTGCGAACACAGAAGTCCAAGTAAGGAATTCTGTTAACCCGGGAGAAGGTGTTAGGCACTCCCGAGTTCCGCTGTTCTAGCCCAGTCGCTCTGATTATACTTGGCTCATAAAATTGTTTAATTACTGATTTTAGAATCTATGTGCATTTGCCTCTTTTAATTAAGAAATTATCTTGAAACGGGTCACGCACACGTGTAACCATTTGTTTGGGGCGTCAAAAATCATGTCACGCAAACGTGTCCACAATTAATCAGGCTTTATTAATATTAAGAATGTTTGGCCGAAGTTGCGCGCCCGGTTCGACTGTGGTTGAACTAGTTAGATTTGAGGACGAAGGCGTCTAGCCTTATGGTTCGAGCAAGGTCGAACTCGTTGGATTTGATGGCGAAGGCGCGTAGCCTGATTCCCAGTTCAACTGTTGTTGAACTTAGTCCATTTTGATGGCGAAGGCGCATAGCCTGAGTCCCAGTTCAACTGTTGTTGAACTTTGTCAATTTTGATGGCGAAGGCGCATAGCCTGAGTCTTGGTTCAACCGTAGTTGAACTTCTTGGCGAAGGCGCATAGCCTTGATTTAATGACGAAGGCGCTTAACCTGAGTCCCAGTTCAACTATTGTTGAACTTTGTCAATTTTGATGGCAAAGGCGCATAGCCTGAGTCTTGGTTCAACCGTAGTTGAACTTACTGGCGAAGGCGCATAGCCTTGATTTAATGATGAAGGCGCATAGCCTGAGTCTTGGTTCAACCGTAGTTGAACTTCTTGGCGAAGGCGCATAGCCTTGATTTAATGACGAAGGCGCATAGCCTGAGTCTTCGTTCAACCGTAGTTGAACTTCTTGGCGAAGGCGCATAGCCTTGATTTAATGACGAAGGCGCTTAGCCTGAGTCCCAGTTCAACTGTTGTTGAACTTTGTCATGGCGAAGGCGCATAGCCTGAGTCTTGGTTCAACCGTAGTTGAACTTCTAGGCGAAGGCGCATAGCCTGAGTCTTGGTTCAACCGTAGTTGAACTTCTTGGCGAAGGCACATAGCCTTGATTTAATGGTGAAGGTGCATAGCCTGAGTCTTGGTTCAACCGTAGTTGAACTTACTGGCGAAGGCGCATAGCCTGAGTCTTGGTTCAACCGTAGTTGAACTTACTGGCGAAGGCGCATAGCCTGAGTCTTGGTTCAACCGTAGTTGAACTTACTGGCGAAGGCGCATAGCCCTGATTTAATGGCGAAGGCGCATAGCCTGAGTCCCAGTTCAACTGTTGAACTTTGTCAATTTTGATGGCGAAGGCGCATATCCTGAGTCCCAGTTCAACTGTTATTGAACTTTGTCGATCTTGATGGCGAAGGCTCATGGCCTGAGTCCCAGTTCAACTGTTGTTGAACTCTGTCAATTTTGATGGCGAAGGCTCATGGCCTGAGTTCCAGTTCAACTGTTGTTGAACTTAGTGGCGAAGGCGCGTAGCCTTGATTCAATGGCGAAGGCGCATAGCCTGAGTCTTGGTTCAACCGTAGTTGAACTTACTGGCGAAGGCGCATAGCCTTGATTTAATAGCGAAGGCGCATAGCCTGAGTCCCAGTTCAACTGTTGTTGAACTTTGTCGATCTTGATGGCGAAGGCTCATGGCCTGAGTCCCAGTTCAACTGTTGTTGAACTCTGTCAATTTTGATGGCGAAGGCTCATGGCCTGAGTTCCAGTTCAACTGTTGTTGAACTTAGTGGCGAAGGCGCGTAGCCTTGATTCAATGGCGAAGGCGCATAGCCTGAGTCTTGGTTCAACCGTAGTTGAACTTACTGGCGAAGGCGCATAGCCTTGATTTAATGGCGAAGGCGCATAGCCTGAGTCTTGGTTCAACTGTTGTTGAACTTAGTCGATTTTGATGGCGAAGGCTCATGGCCTGTGTCCCAGTTCAACTGTTGTTGAACTTAGTTGATTTTGATGGTGAAGGCTCATGGCCTGAGTCCAATATTGTGGGTATTGAGTGCTGAAGCTCGGTTTTGATTCGAGACCTTGAGCGGCTTACCCGTTGTCTTCCCAACCAGGGTATATAGGCTGTCTTGAGGCGATTCTCGGCTCGAGATATCTCCGTGCCAGTTTCTGGCCGGAGCTCGTATCAGGGATGCGGGAGATGCCTTACAGAGATCTTCCCTTAGGAGGGGCTTCTTCTTCTTCTTTGCACTATCCGAGATCAGAGAGAGACAGGACTTGGATCTTGATTTGAGATCTTCGAGTTCCTTTTGTCTGACATGCCGTTTTGGTTTATTTGAGCTGGGTTGCTTTTGTTTTCCTTTTCTGGCGTTTCTTCCTTTTTGGTCCAGGGAAGAACTACGCGATTTTCCTAGGAAATCCCCACAGACGGCGCCAAATTGTTTGCTCAAAAGTTATCACATACCTTATGAGTATAAAACAACATAATTAAATCATGGGAAAATCATAGCAAAACGTAATAATCCATTGGACCAAATGAAGGAAATGAAAATAAGTACTCAGAGTTAGGAGGAGAAACATTAAAATCCTTTATTGATAATGTGAATTTGGCCTGCCTCTCCATGGAGAGGTTCAGAGCCTTACAATGGTGTTCTACTCTCTCATAATATGGGTATCATTGTGTTTTTTCTCTTCTTTCTGGATAGTGACCAAGAAGAAGCCCCCCCTCCCCATAATATGGTTCCCTCTCTTGGTATTTATAGTTGTGAGCTTCATGAGCTGGCAATAAGTGGTCGTGACCACGTTGGGGTTTTGCCTTCATGATGGCGGATGGGCCGTGGCCTTGTTGATCGAACCAGATGAGGGTTGAATATCGTTAATTCTGAGTGGTCGTGCCACTAATTAATCATGAATTAGCTTAAGATGGGATTAGCTTCGTTAATTATTGTGGGGTCGGATTCTGACCCATACAGTGTTACAGTTGCAGTCACTCACCCTCTATACTTAGCTCCGGGCGACACAAGTGGAATTTCATTGATTTCATTCCAGCTGACTGTCACTAATAATTACTCCTTGTGGTATCGATCTATGCGTATTGCATTAATTGGTCGAAATAAACTAGGTATTGTTGATGGCAAGTGGACAAAAGAGCAATTTCGTGAGAAGTATTGGTACCAATGGGAGCGATGCAATGCAATTGTGTTGTCATGGATGATGAACTCAGTTGCTCCAACCTTAATCAGTGGTATTGCTTATGCCACTAGTGTGATTTACAAGAGAGGTTTGACAAAGTGAATGATACTTGTTGCTACAATTTGCACAAGGAAATTGCTACCTTAAGTCAAGGTACTTCTTCTATCTCTATCTATTATTCAAGGCTCAAGGACCTTTGGGATGAGTCTGAGTCTGTTATACCCACTGATGGTTGTGATTGTGTTAAGACAAAGGAGTTTATTATACATCTACAAAAGCAAAAAGTGTATCAGTTTCTAATGGGCTTGAATGACTCCTACTCTCAAGCTCGTAGTCAAATACTTATGATGAAACCACTTCCTTCAGGAAATCAACCATATGCCATGCTTATGAGTGATGAAAGCCAAAGAGTTGTAGCTGCTTCTGCTGGTATTTTAGGATCTCAGTTTTTCAATTCAAATAGGTTGCTTTTAGAATAGGTTGTTCTCGAATAAGCTCTTTGAAAGATAACTCCACCTACTATAAATACACATACTTATGATTCAACTGCATTATACAGTGCTAAGCCTAGTTTCAATCCAAAATTTAGGAAGAACTATAATATTCAGTGTGGGTTTTGCAAAATGAAGGGCCACAGTAGAGAAAAATACTTCAAAATAATAGGTTATCCATCAGATTATAAATTCAAAAAGAAAAGGGGAGCTGGGCCTTATAATGCAAGGGTCGAACCTGGATACACTATGCATATGTACTCCAATCATGTTTCGAACCATGTTCCTCAGTCAACACCAATGCCTCATTTGCGTGCATATCAAAATCCCCAACAGAACATGAATCAAGGATTTGTGTATTCTCAAGCCACGAATCAGGCACAGGGTCATTCTGGTCCTCAAGCTCAAGCAGGATCTTCCTCTATACAGGCACAGGACCTTCCACAGGTTTCTCTCCACGGGCTCAAGGAAGTGCTTTTCCTTTCACTAAAGAACAGTATGATCAGATAATGTACATTTTGAACAATTCAACTTCCTCTACTCAAGCAAATGTGGCAGGTACTAGCACAGCTCTCTTAGCATCTACTAGTCCATAGGAATGGATTATTGATACTGGAGCAACTAATCATATGGTGTCAGATGCTAACATGCTCACTAAGACCTCTGTAGTTGCTCCCTCTAAGCCTAGGAGAGTTTTATTACCTAATGGAGATGTCACTCAAGTAACTCACACTGGTGACAGTAATATTTCAGACATAAGCACTCTTAAAGAAGTTTTCTATGTGCCTAAATTCAAGTTCAACTTATTATCAATCTCCAAAGTGACAAGAGATCTTAAATGCTTTGCTTCCTTTTATCCTGATTTCTGTGTCTTTCAGGATCTCTTCTGTGGCAGGGTGAGGGAGATTGGTAGAGAAAGAGATGGTCTATACTTTCTGCAGAGATATGGTGGTAAGAAGCTCACTACAGTGTCTTTAGCTGCTGCTGGAATAAAGTTAAGACAGGGTAACACTATAGTTGATGTTGCCTTGTGGCATAAAAGACTAGGTCATGTATCTAGTAGTGTTCATAGGAAACTGTTTGCTGCCAAACTAACTAGTATCAATGACACTATCAATAACTGTAGTGTACGCCTTTGTGCTAGGCAAACCAGGTTGTCATTCCCTTCTAGCTGTATTAAGACTATTGCTGCATTTGATCTAATACATCTTGATGTTTGGGGTCTATATAACTATGAAACTTTTGATGGCAATAAGTATTTTCTGACAGTTGTTGATGACTTTACTAGGATGACTTGGTTATTTCTACTAAAGCTCAAATATGATGTTGTGTGGTGCTTACTCAACTTATTGTGTTCATTCAAACTCAGTTTAACAAAATTGTGAAAGCAATCAGGTCAGACAATGGCTCTGAGTTTGTCAACTCTAACTATACCACATTGTTTCAAAAGTACGGTATCATCCATCAAAGTACCTATCCTTGTACTCTTCAGCAAAATGGAGTTGCTGAGAGAAAGCACAGACACATTCTAGAAGTCACACGAGCTTTAAGGTTTCAGGCCAATATTCCCATCAAGTATAGTGTACTTGCAGCAGTGTATATCATAAATAAGATGACATCTTCTGTTCTTCATGGTCTTTCTCCCTTTGAACTGATGTATGGTAAGGCACCTAACCTGGGTCACTTAAGAATTCTTGGTTGCTTGTTCTATGCCAAGCAAGTGCATGAAACAGATAAACTTATGCCCAGGCTAAGCCAGTTGTTCTCATGGGCTTCTCTGATACTCAGAAGGCCTACATTCGACTAGATCTCTCTTCTTATTGTTTCTTTATCAAAAGGGATGTCTCCTTCAAGGAAGATATATTTCCCTTCAAAGATATCACAGCCACATCACCTCATATTTTCTTGCCTCCTGGCTTATCCAATTCTAGTGAAGAGCAGCCTTCACTTCCTTCTGTTCCTGCTAGGCATGTGTCTACTGACTCTTCTCATTTGCATCAGTAAGCAGCAGATGTGATGCCTTTTACACTTCCTCCTCCTGCTCAGAACTCCGCTGGTCTGAGGAGATCTTTGAGGACAAGGCATAGAGTTTGTCAGGTCACAACAAGGCATTCTAATGCACCAAAGGAAGTACCCTCTAGAGCTGATTTCTGAGCTTGGATTGGGAGCTGCAAAACCTGCAGCAACACCTATTGAAGCCAACATCAAACTGACCACTAAGGAGTATGATGAACATACTAGTAGCTCTACTGCAACTCATGATGAAGTGTTAACAGACATCAGCCAGTATCAAAGATTACTAGGGAAACTACTATACTTAACTGTCACAAGGCCAGATATAGCATATAGTGTTCAGAAATTAAGCCAGTTTATGCAAAAACCGAAAAGATCACATTTGGAAGCTGCTCAAAGGATGGTTAGATATGTGAAGAACCAACAAGGTCAAGGCATACTGTTATCTATCAAACAGCGGAACATTATCACTGCATATTGTGATGCAGACTGGGCAGCCTGCCCTATCACTTGGAAGTCAGTAACAGGCTTCTTCATCAAGTATGGTGATTCTATGATATCCTAGAAGTCAAAGAAACAAAACACCATTTCTAGCAGCTCTGCAGAATCTGAGTACAGAAGCATTGCATCGACTATAGCTGAATTGGTGTGGATACTTGGTCTGTTCAAAGACATTGGTATAGAAGTTGGCCTCCCTGTGAACATTTACATTGACAGTAAAGTAGCAATTCAAATAGCAGCCAACCCAGTGTTTCATGAACGAACCAAACACATTGAAATAGACCTTCGCTTTATAAGGGAAAAGATACATAATGGTCTAGTACAAACAGAATATGTAGCTACAAAGGAGCAGTTAGCAGACATTCTAACCAAAGGTCTACCACGAGTGCAACACGAGTATTTGATGTCCAAGTTAGGTGTACTTGATGTCTTTCTACCACCTAGCTTGAGGAGGAGTGTTGAGACAAAAGATGTAACTTGAATACAGGGGTAGTTTAGTCTATTTATGTGCTAGCAAATTAGTGTGTTAGTTAGTTAGTTAATAATACACGTGATTGGTTAGTGAGGTAGTTAGAGCAGTTAGTAAAGCCTTGTATATATATACACATAGCCTGTACAAGTAATGAGATACAGAGTATTCATTTTGTCATGAAAAGTTACGTATAGACCGTTCTAATTTTTTTTCATCTAACACCACAAAGCTCGCAAAAGAAAGAGATAAGAGGCAGAATGTGGATTGATCAACAGGGGAGGTCTTTTGGTGTGTGTTTTTAATTGCAATATCTCAAAGTGACATGAGCACGCCAGCTACCGACTGTAAGACCTTGGACTAGGCATAAAGATAAGAGCTACATTTCCCTTCAGAAAAGACATGATCACATATCCCAATGTTTGGGCTCAAAATAACAACAACTCTTATAAACTAAACTACCGTCCAAGTTTTAATTTGTATTGTTATCCATGGAACCTCGTTTGAACCTTCATGAAAATTAATGATCTCCTAACAAGAAAACATATATTTAGAGGGATGTTTCCGTGCCATGCTTCAGCTGAAAAATGGACCTTGCCATTCTGATCAGTATTAGGATCGAAAAAATCGGGTTTTACGTGGAAGCTAGCAAAGTAAACCTTAAACGACGATAAGTCCGACAACAAAAGAAAAATCTATCAAAAGAGATACAAATATTTAATGTGGTTCGGTCAATTGACCTACGTCCACGGTCGGAGATGAGCAATTCACTATATAAAAGAGAGGACAAAATTTCGAGAGAACAACCTCACGAAGAGGCAAACACAAGTCACACACTAACACTTGTTCATCTATTTTCAATAGTTCAATGATCATTTAAGTAATGAACTCTTGAATTAAGTTACTGTAAGAATTTGCGCTGCCCCACACCATAGATGTAGATTCCAAGGATAAAAAACGAGCAAGAAGGTTTTGAGCAAGAAGGTTACAAATATTTCCTTTGTATTTTGTTCGACTGAGAGGCAAGATCATTAAATAAGGATTAGAATACAGCAACTTATGCCTCAATTTCAAACAAATTGAGGTCTGGTTGTATGAATTCTCATGTTGTTCCACTAAAAGTTCTCTGACCATGTTCTATACGCATACAAATCTTTGACAAGATTAAGAAACTCCTAACAAATATTGGGCTTAAAATATAAACGTACAAACATGGCTCTAAAAATTTAACCTACCAATTTTTTCCTTTTTTTGGAAAGTAAACTCAAACTAATTATTATGACTTATATAGATTTTTTTTATTTGCCTTATTCTGCTTTAAGTGTGCATGAATTCCAAGATGTTGTAGGTCTTTTACGACAATTTACCTACATCAGGCTAGGCTACATGTGATTATACATTTTTACATCTATCAAGCTCCTAAAATGGTTTTGGTTTATTTGGAGGTTGACACAGGATATAACCAAATAATCTATAGCGATTCTATCTCATTTTATCCTCTGTGTTATCTATACCTTCTGCCGAACATCATACATCCACTTTAGTATTTGCATTTTTGCAACACTCCTCTTACTTGTATATTAGACTTTAAAGACTTTCATTTAAGAATGATTCTCCCAAATGTGTATCAAGCTAGTTCAACTTAATATCATACAAATGGTTATACAGTCAAACCTCTCTATAACAGCCTCGTATGTTCCGAAATTTCTTGGCTGCTATAATGAAGTGTTGTTATAGAGGACATATATTATAACATTAAAATAATATTCGATTCCGAGAATTACTCGGCTTTTATAGTGAATGACTATTATATAAGGATGTTCTTATAGAAAGATCTGACTATACCAGTTAAACTAAACAAGGAAGGGACATTATTATTATTATTCTTTATACATGCCACTTGATCTACTGTCAAGCAAAAGCCCCACATATTTATGGGTTGTATGCACAGTCACAAGGGATTGTACTTGTTTGGTATGGTCCCAAAGCTTGTTTTGGATCACGGGAAGCAGGAGGAGCAAGTTCATTGAACATCTTCTCATCACGTGCCATTGCATTCCAACACACACATGAATCATAAACTGCAGATCTACAAGCAGTGACAATAACTATATACCACTAAAGGTTGTGCTGGCCCTTAATCTTTCTTTAATCAGAGATCCTAAATTCGAGCCCTTGGAATAGGTCGCCTTTGGTAGGGAACACCTTAACTTTTTGACGCAAATATAAATTAGTTGGATCCCAACGTGGATACTAAACACAAGGTGAGAAACCAAAAAAAAAACTAAGCATGGAGATGACAACATCCACAAAATTGGAAATTTCAATGTAAAGTATGGAGCAACGCCACACTTTAAACAGTATTTCAATGTAAAGTATGGAGCAACGCCACACTTTAAACAGTAAGTCACCTAGTACAAAATATAGGGCTGAAAAGGCATCCATTTAGAAGTCACCGACAAAATATTGGACGGAAAAAGACGTTCATTTCTCTATGTTATCCATCAATAAGAAAGTAACTCTTAAAATTAGCTTCAACTACAGCATTGTACATCATTTACACAAAGCCCTTCATCATTAGTAGTATAATTCACTTCTTCTAGGTCTGGCACCATTGGTATGACCGAGCGGTAAATGAAGTGGATGAAAAATCATGGTAGACTAAGGTCCAAATCTCAAGAGAGACGAATATGCTAGGTAATTCTGTCCATCTGCCTTGTGCTGGTTGGAGGTAACAAAGCTCGATGGAATAGGCAAGGTGCCACCAAGATGGCCCGAAAACCACCATTATCCCAAAAAAAGGTTTGCAATTTCAAGAATTCCAAGATCATCATCCAAATATTTTGTGCACAGATACCATATCTTTAGCACAGATTGGAAGCCAATTTATCCTTCTCAGGAATGCGTATAGTAAGTATTCCCGTTCTTTTTGCAGCATGAAGAAGAGCAAAGGCCAGCAAAATAATTTTAGTGCAAGTGAGTGCAACTCAAGCGTAGGAGGACCATGGACAATTCACCAATGCCCCATCATCTGTAAAAAGGTTAATCTGCCAAGCATCAATTTGGAATTCCAAAAATCTTAAATTAAGGGGAAAAAACCTTGGATCATGAGCAACAAACTAGAACCTGGAATGGAGCTTTGTAATCTTTTAAAGCATCAGTGAGGACTACTAAGAGTTGCTCCAGGACTAGCCTTGTGAACCGAAAGATAATCATCTCCGTGTATTCAGCAGCCAAGCAACATGATACTACTCTGGCTTAATTAAGCAGCCAGACGTAAGAAATAGTAAGATAATGTGATCAAGGTACAAGCTTCATACCAAACCAGAGAGAACAGCTGCAGCGCTATTCCCAGATTTCAGTGTTATGCCAAACAAGAAATCTACATTTCAAATTCAACAATCTATTAAAAGCAGGCACTTATGAAGGGAAACTTGTTACTTGATAAACGAAACATCAAATTAGTTTCCAGGAACTATTCAGGAGGTCTTCATTTTCTTCATGAACAATTCAATCCTATCGGCAGCATCATGCATATTCTTCTGTTTGATTTCCTGCAGTAGCACACTGCATGTCTTGTATCGAGGAGTAATCTCTTGGCGGATCATATCCTCAAAAACAAGATAGGCCCATTCACATTTATTTGCTCTGCACAAACCATGGATAAGAAGTGTATAACTTGATAGATCAAGACTTAGATGATGCTTATTAACCATGTCATTCACCAACTTATTCAGGAAATCATCTGTCTTCCCAACTTTAAAGCACAACTTGAGCAGTGGAAAGTATGACTGAACATCAGGTTTACAATATGGTGAACTTTCCAGGTCCCTTAAAAATTCTAGCGCTCTTTCCTCTTGGGAATGATGGCAAAACATGGCAATGATAGTATTATACGTCGATGTATTAGGTTGAACACCATTTCCGGGCATTTCAACCTTCAAGACACGAGTAGCTTCTTGTAATCGGTGCGCCCTGCCTAATGTATGAATCAGAGCGTTGTAGAAAAGTGTATCAGGTTTACAACCAACTGATTTCATCCTCTCAGCAATCTTAAGGGCTTCCTCAAATGCCCCTGATTTTGTCAAGAAACACATGATGGTGGTGAAAGTGACAACATTTGGTACACATCCCAGTCCTTGCATTTCATCAAGCAGCTCATAGACCCTCTGGAAGTTAAATTGCTGGCAGTAGGACATGATGATTGTTGAGTAGCTGATGACGCAAGGAGAACAACCATTGCCTTTCATCTCCTGAATTGTCCAGTACGCTTCTTCTACCCGATTAACTTTGCACCAACCATGAATAAAAATGTTAAACGTGTTTGCATTTGGTGGTATATGCGACTTGAGCTCGGAAAAAATTTCACGTGCCTGTTGGACTTTATTTTCTTTGCACAAAGTGTCTAGTAACAGATTCATTGATTCTGTATTCTTCTCCAAACCGAATTTTCCCAACTCGTCAAATGTCCTCACTGCTTCTTTCCACTCTCCTGCACCTGCAAACCTTCTCATAACTTTTGCTATTGTGTTGAGAGAAACAAGATGGTTTGCATGCATTTCATCTATCAATGAGTGCATCTTTTCCATTTTCTTCATCTTTCCCAGTATATCTACCAACTTATCGTACAATTCTGGTGAGGGATTGTAGCCAGCACGTGATTGTGCCCATCTAAAAGCACCAAGTGCAGACTTCCAGTCATCTTTGAAGCGATAAAGCATCCTATCAACAAAGTTATCAGTGATATGTATGGAATCACAATCCGGATCAGAAAGCAATGACTGGAGAACCTCAGCCTCACTGCTTCCAGGACTTATTCTAGCAAGTACAACATTAACATCAGAATCTCTTCCCAAGATCATGCATTTCTGTTGCTCACCTGGAATTCTATTGCCAGCAAACTGGGGACTTACGGAACAAAACACACTAGACAAGGTGGAAAAGTAGCTAAAGCAACTTTTACATGGTACATTAGAAATGTTACAAACCCCAAATGGGAGAAAAACAGATATGTATCTAAAGGGCAGTTTTCTAGCATAGAACTTCATGAGACTAGTATCAGTATCACACAAGACACAACAACAACAACAACAACAACTACTACTACTACTATCACTCAAGGGCAGACGCAGAGTGTAACATACGGGTTCGACCGACCCCAGTAGCTTGGCTCAGATCCTGTATATTGTTAAGAAATCAACTAAATATGCACGAGTATTAAATTCAGAACTCAGTCACTAGCACTTAAGGTCGCTGTCCTAGAATCCCGAACCCATAAATTTCAAATCCAAGATCCACCTCTGCTATGATTTAATCCCAAACTAGTTGGTGTTGGCCAATAACAAACACTGCAAAGTAAGTATTTCTTGTTCCTGCATACATATTGAAGAAAATCAGCAACTTAACAGTACAATGCAAAAGTGATAAACTTCAGACAGCAAATAACATTAGAAGAAAAAAAGAAAAGATAGATTTTCTCATATTTTTTGTATTATAGACTAATAAGAAGCGCATTTTAACATCAAACTCAAATACAATATCCGAAGACCTAAACGAAGGTTCTTTCCAACAGGGGTTTCAGTAAAATTTCAGCATCTCCATTAGAAAAGACTGCAGTGTACCTATGATACTATACCACCAGTTCCTGTGATACTATACCTACGATATGAATAATAAGGTGTCACTATAAAGAAGAAACCCAGATAGGATAATGACGGAAAACAAAAGGCACCGAGACAAGGGCGGCTCTAGGGTAAGGCAAGTGAAGCTCTTGCCTTAGGCCCCCAAATATTCAGTTCTCCACCTTAACGACAGAAAATAGGATTGATCAAATTCTATTGAGTCTGACTCATAGTGATCGTTTATCAAAGAATGACTCTGGTTATCAAATGATTGAACAACACCGCCGTATGGCTGACCGGCGATTACTAGCGATTCCGGCTTCATGCAGGCGAGTTGCAGCCTGCAATCCGAACTGAGGACGGGTTTTAAGGCCCCAAAAATATAAAGTACTACTATATCATTATATAATACTAGTTGGAAATGGCCCGTGCTGAGCCCGGGCCCGGACCTATTAAGTTAAAAATTTATATTGTTTTATGAAAGAAGTGGATAACTTTTTATAGAAAGTAAGTTCCGCTACAATTAATATGTGGGTTGAGACATAATTTTAGGTACCCATTCTAATGAGTTGTGATTTGAGATAATAGTTCCTAGTGGCAACATTGTAAGTCTACCCTGCTAAGCAGGGGCTCGAGTTTAAAATGTAAACTCCTTTAATTTTCATGAATGCAAAATTATATTGGTAGCTTAAACTTGGTTCCGGAGATTCAAATGTTATCTTCCTTGTTAGTATGTCACTTCTGCCTTCGGGTCTCACCAGGATGTGAGCCTTGTACATATACCTATAGGTTTTTAAACATCATTAACTATCGCTATAAATACTACACATACCATAGTTTGACAATTGATGCTTTATCCAAAAGCTAAGAGTTCATATTTAACAAAAAAATTAACATGTGCTCCATCCGTGAATGTATCCGTCGATCAACAGAGTTAGTAATGCCTAGAAACAAGTTCATTAATATTGGATCTCTCAATGGCACTTGTATCTCAAACTTATACAGCTATATACTTTGGAAAATATTAACAATTGCACGCAAATGATTGGAATAACTAAGTAACGGTCCTAAAATGTAAATTGTTAAGAAACAATGGTGGTCTTTCTGCTTTAGCCTGTAAGAACTAAATTAGACACCAGATATGCCACAATAAACATGACATAAACAACTGAAGCGAGAATATATAAGCTTTACATATTAACTGGTTCAGCTTCCCACTGTGTGTGAGTTAGGTGTTATAGCTTACAAAATTGCTGTGTATCATTGTATCTCTAAGGTTGATCTTAAGAAAGTAGTGAACTTTTATTATCTTCTACTTTTATTATTCTCAGAGTGATGTTTTTACTATACAAAGTAAAGAATGCAATACCAAAGCATCACTTACGAAGAACCGCCTAGCAAAATCCAAGCACCACACTAAACGTATAGCCGGAACCCCCTCGTTACCTTACGTGCGACTCTAATCGCATACGGCTCACACAAAGACTCCTAAATCCATCATGAGCCCTTTCTTCCATCTTTCTCCTCCAATCCTCCATCAAACTTGCGTTCCTCGGGCGCTATGAAATAGAGGTCTATGTATTGGCTTACCTTCTTCCCGAACCAAGGAGGCCTTCTGGCGGACGTATGGGTGTAGGAAGTTCGACGACTACATAAGCTAAAAGACTATTACTACAAGAAAGAAAGTAGCACATTAGGGTATTTTTCCTTGTGATGCAGGATCTTTGCTTTGCTTCGTCCAATCAAAGAAGAAGAGTTACATCAAAGTTACCATCGAAATAACAATGGTACATCTGCCATCACCAGAAGTATCATAATGTCACGAGTTTCAGACATGCTTGGACCTTTAATATTCTGTACATAGTATGGCTGCCATCAATTTTATAGAAAATGTAGCAGAGATTGATTTACAAGCAATTTTATTTGATAGCGTATTGTGATTTCCATCGTGAACAATACTTCAACCTTTTGTTCAATGAAGAAGCATATAATCTAGCTTTCTAAAAAATATTATGGCCGATCAAAGTGGATGAAGCATGACTTTTTCATCCCTATATCTAGATACAGTTCAAGAAACTGAAATTTCTTCTCCTTCACAAAAAGAGCTGCAGGATTATTATCCCTCTTTTTTCTCTTAAAACAAATGGTAGGCTGAGAAGATGATCAAAGGAGCCAACTTAGAGTGCAAGTGTGCATTGAGTTAGAAGGAAGTTCTAATTTTCAGCTTCACTGTCTGAACAAGGTGAAGGTTTGTTTCCTGCATTCAATCTTTTTACATGCTCAATTGAACAAATGAAGATCCTCCGCAAAAATTGCAAAACTCTCTAAAGTAAAGTCATTGAATACCATATTATGTTAAGTTCCTGGAATACTCCATCTCATAAATATGCTTACTTCTTCGTGCCCTTCAAACTTAACCCTTTGTATTTGTAATAATACATCTTTTGATAGATATTTAGATTCAGTGCCAGGCTAGTATGAACAGAAGACCTAATACCTACGCAGAATATATAATATAATAATTATCTTCAAGGTTTACTAACAATGCCTTTTTGTAATGAGCAAAGTACAGTATCATCAAAAGCATGAGCGTGATCCCAAATAATTTGAAATGCATTAATAAAAAGCGCTTATTTAATGTCACATTAGATGAAAATGTAATGTCAAGAACCAGACTGTCACTCCAAAAAACAAAAACTATGAAGTCTAACTCAGGTAAAGAAATATTCATTAGATAGAAATAGTAGTAGTTTTCCACATTGTTTCCTTATAACATCTTAGGGAGCAATTGAATTATGACTCAAATGTATAACAGACAACATTAACTCAGGGTGATTCTAAAATAAAAAGAAGTGAACTCATAGCATGAATCAGACTATCCCATCGATATATGGTCAATCCTTGACTGAAAAAATACAGTTAAATATTTTATTAAAAATTATTACATTGCTGAGCTACTTGTATCCTGTTTCTAACATCAGATGGTAATAGTTGCACCGGTACTCAATGATAAAGATACTAGAATGAGTTCTTGATGTTTAGTTGTATTGGCTCGCTATTGAACAAGCCTGTAGCACAATGAATAGATTAAAATCATGCAGAAGCTTCTTACTTGTGATAACGCCAAGTTGAATGACAATGTACATCCTACAATCTAATAAGGCATCTGAAAATACTGCGCGAAACAGGGAAATGAAAAATGGATCACTTTGTGAATACAACAGACCGACTGATAAAAATTAACTATAAAATTTATATAGATAGTAGGTGGAGTATTGATAGTTTATTTCTTTTGATATCTGAGGTTTTTCTTTGGGCAGCTACAGGGCAGGTCTTTATTTTTTTGACAAGTCTACCGGGCAGGTCTCTGTTTATATGCTTGATCGAGAAACCTCCATTTCATCAATGTTAAACTCTCCAAATATTTCCTCCAGTAAAACTGTCCCTACTACAATAAACTCTTACCTCTTCTTGAAAAATCCACATCTTCCAACCTTTCTTCTACTCTTCCCTCTTCTTCACTAAACCTCTAAATTAACCCCCTCAACGCCTGCTTTCTAAGACTTTGATCACTCTTATTTTCCTTAATTTTACCCACATTTTTCTCCATGTTAGTCAAACGGTCAAGACATATGTCCTTTTCTGAAATTATCTCGAAAGAACCATAATTAATGGAAATTAACACTGAACCAATGCTATCACTACTCACATTTGTCCATATCATCTAACACTTTCTATGTTCTATTGTGTAGCATTCCCCATTGGTCATGTTTAGATATTTTATCATCCTATCTATTCAAGTTCTACACTTTAACGGAACTTACGACACAGGCATTCCAGATCCCAAACTTTATGATCCCTTTGTTAGACCAAACAATGTTCCAAAGTAAAACACGAGTATAACATTTTCCATTAGTTAATAAACAACGATAAAGAAAATAAAAGTTCAAACAAAATAGATAGCATAAAACATACAAAGTTAAGCAAATTAATCTGTATGCGCCACATACAGGGAGATGACATCGAAAGCATAAAACAGAATTACAGCCAGAGGTAAGAAATAAGCACTAATTAAAGAAAACCAAATGATTACAATTTGTTTCAAACTGGCACACAATGAAAGATTGAATAAACTGTAAAAATAATATGCTTGGAAGTTTCGATTTAACTCCAACATGAAGGTAGCAAATGCAATTAACTTTTGGCAGAATGTGAACGTACTTAACCTCAAAATCATACACTGAAATCTTAAAATGAATCATGTCAGCTGAACACATGCCAAATTCAACTCAAAAGATGGATTTTACAAAAAAGAGACAATCTCAAAATCTAATTTATATAACCTATAAACCACAATGATTTGAAATTAAGATATATGAACAAGATTAAGAATATAAGACAAAAAAAACCCAGAAAGTGAAAGAGATAATTGTTTACCCAAGTTAATGTGTTGCCGTGTAGCAGAGACAATGGGTAACGCTTGAGAGAAACTAAGAAAGAGCAATCAAGGAAAACTGGGCATCTGAAAGCTAACAAGTTCCCGCTGATTTTCGGACCACCATAGAAACAACAAAACTCTATAATTTCATAAGCACAAACAAGAAATTGGAGAACCTAGAATTGCAAAAGGGGAACACTCTTTACCTAAAAGGACTCTAAAGCGGCCTAATTTACGTTCAGCAAAGAAATAATATAAACTAAACCCAGGGGTAAAATCGACCTTTTGAGCGGCAGCAGGACGCCGAAGTCCTGCTTGCTTCTAAATAGTATAAGTAATATACTAGTACTCTACTACTCTGTATATATGTAATTTATATTTACATAATTATCGATAAAATATTTTAAATTTGGTAGATGTAGGATTGAATAAGTTAAAGCATAAAATTTTTCTCTCACTAAATTAAATATATTTATCTTTTCATCAATTCTATTTTTCTTTCTTTCTTTTTTCATATTTTTTACTATTTTACTTTCTAATTTAAATCAAATTCTCTAAATTAGCTATTCTTTTTTCTCACAATTTGATAGATCCTCATATCAGTAATCAAGTTCTTTTGTGTCTTATTTTTTTTAACTAAGAAATTCCAGTGGCAATTATCGTAAGGTTCAAAATACGATTAATAATAGGCTCAATCCTTTTATCATTTTCATTTATTGCTATATTTTTTTTATAGGGAGTTCAATACCATATGACTTACGCCTAACCCACATATTATACGTTGTTCTCTCACTATTTTTTTTTTCTTAATATTATATGGATATTATGAAAGAAATTTCAGGGTCTTTTAATATATTTTAGTTTTAAGGCACCAGTTCCGTTGAGCCGCCATCATTAATGATCAGGAATTATTTATAGACCAAGCCCATGTACGTGTTATTCAACAGCTTCATTCACATTTGGTAACTAAATAACACATTGACCGATTGTTGTCTTATCTTAATTGAGACTCTATAAAATTTGATTGAGAATAGTAGGAGGATGGACATGCGGCTCGATTAGGAGACTAGTAAAGCTTTAATTTAGATCCCCAAAATTTTTTAATAATGAATTTTATGATTTTATTTCAAGTTAGACAATATTAAAGTTTGCAAAAAAAAAAAAAAAATAAACCTTGGACAAAAGAAAGAAAGACTATCTACTCTTTAACACTAAAAATATTTTAGAACTTGAATTAAATTAATTAGATCTTCATATTAGTAAATTTATTTATTACAACAAACTTTATGGAGCCGCCATTGCACCGGGATAGTTAGTTGATTGGCTGTTTTTCGAAAACCAAACCAAACGTTACCTAATCCTAAGAAGTGATAACAACGAAAACGGAGAAATTTTCCGACGAATTACCTCTTGTCGCCGGACGTTAGGAACTTTGTGCCGGAGGTGGCTTTGCCTAGTTTGGCAACGGCGAGAGGTATTAGTACCGGGGCTACTAATTGGATCTATCGGCCCGTCTCTCATATTTTTGGGCTGGCCCAGACTTTATATGGCCCCCATTTACGTCAAATTAGTTTTGGGAAGTGGTTGCCAATCTTTTGATTTTGATTTTTGGGCCATACAGCTCTGTTGTCTGTTGTTTATCTCTTTTTTTTTTTTTTTTTAATTTATTTCATTCTTTATTTAGTTAAAGTTCAATTGAAAGAATCAGGGATCACTGATTAGTTGAATGAGCCCATGTCTTTAGCCTATTATTTGTTAGTCGATTCGGCTGGTAGCTTGTGCATCAAATCAAACCAAATAAACGAATTTGGTCGTCCTGGTCCAAAGGATGGTTGAGGTACAAAAGTTTCAACCTTAAAGATCTTATGATTCAAAGTTCTGCTTTTTAAAAATAATTTGCACCCTAAACTCTTACTTCCTTGCAAAGAATATTTACTTTTGTTACTTACGATGGCAATTAAGGGATAAAATTTAAGACGTATGGTGTATATTGAAGATGAAAACCACTCAACCATCCTTTGGATGTATCTGTAAGGATTACACCATAATGCAAAATATCATACCTGGAAAACAATTTTGAGAAAAAAAGGAAGTGAAGGTTGATGTGAAAGCAACAGTGGGATGCCCATGAGGCCTTTGACTATTGAGAACGCTTGAGTTCCCTGATTTAGATTTTTAGACTTACACTTGAATAACAAATGTCTACACTCATTCTTCTCTACATTTCATTGTTCTATATTATTTTATTTTGCTCTAATTATAGTATTATTTTTTAACATGATATAATATTATATTTTTGCGAAATATTTGGTGTTTTATCTTTTAGAGGTCGTTTGGTAGAGAACAAATTATCCTGAAATTTTAGTTATGGGATTTAATGCAGGGATTAAATAATAACAAAGTTATTCAATGAATATATTTTTATCGGAATTGCTCATAGGATTAAAAATGAGGATACTTGGTATAATATAAATACTAAATAAGTTGAAATAAATTCTTATTTTTAATTTTAATCATGTTATGAAACCCCTCTATTTATGGGAAAAAAATGACTTTACCACAAAGTAACAAACTCTAAAATCTCTTTAAAATATAGATATTCACCTTAAATAAAATTTTATTTATAACACTACCCCTTGAATGTTTATTCAACAGATAATGTGTCTCGTTTAAACCTTAACTAAAATAAAACCCAACGGAAAAAAATCTAGTAAAGGAAAAGGAGTACACATATCTAACAATATGCATTTTGGTTGCCTCGTTAAAACCCTTGCAAGGAAAATCAAGTGGGACAAAACTTTATAAGGGAAAAAGAGTACAACGCGTATTAACTCCCCCTTATGAGACAATCAATTCACATCTTTGAGCCTTCACAAAATCCAAACTTTTGCACCATTTTCTAAAGATCATTGGTAGAGATTTGATTAAAAAAATCGACCATTAACTTGAATGAATATGTTGCACCTTGAAATCATCATTCTTGGTAGATACGTAAGGTCTTCATATAATGTCGTGGAATGGATTTTTCAATATTTTCATACATGCAAAAAAATTCGTTATCACATTATCATGCTTATAGTTATAGCAAGATACATATGTGCACAAATTGCACTTCGGATGTGGTACTTCAGAACCAAGAATTGTATATGCTTTAAACGATTTAAATCCTTCGGGGATTGTCATATAAATTAAGTCATATAAGCTATATGAACAGACTTCATATAAGATAGACAAAAGTAATTGCACACCTTTAACTTTACTAGTGTTAGGGTACGCGCAGTTGTGCGTGTATCCCGTTCTCAATTAGTGATATATTAAAAACTATATTTTGTGTATAAAATAAAAGGTTTAAACATTAAATTAGTAAATATAATGTCTATTGTTCAAGTTGAGGGGAGAATTTAATGTGTAAAACAAATTTGAAGGTGTAAACAACTTTCAATGCTTCTTGAAAAGTTATTTTTTCTCTTTTATTTAGTTTGGAATTTTAGCAATTGAAGAACCTTCGATTCCTTCTTGAAAAAGTTGTTTTCCCATTTTTTTGTATGATAGAAATTTTAGAATTTTTTTTTTTATACTTTTTGTGTAAGTGTCAAAGTCAGTTTGTGCATATCTCGATTAATTTTATGGGATGCATGTTATTTACATAACATGTACCAAGTAAATTTGTCTATCCAAGGCTTGGACATATAAGAAGAAATAACCTATTTTTTTAAATGTCTGTTAGATGTTTTAGCATGTAGATCACTTTTTATTCTTCGTAAGTATTATTTATATTAGATAATTATAACTGCACTTCATATATTTATTTTTATTTAAATTATAAATTGCTAAACATTTGGAGGACAATTTGAGAAAATTGAATGACCGGGAAAATCATATTCTCAAGTTGGTGTACACGCGCAAAACATAAGAATACTAAGGCGTATAGTTTGGTTCCAAACGAGCCCCTGGGTATGGAGTCGCCTTTGTAAGGGAGCGCTTTACTCCCAATGTGGGACTTCTCGGCGCGAATCCGGATTAGTCAGGCACCAATGTGGGTACTAGATACCGGGTAAGAAATAAAAAAAAAACAGTTTGGTTCCAAAAAGAAAGAGGAATTAAGGGTGTAATTTTTATTTTTTTTTAGTTTGATAAGCTGCAACAAAGTTTTCAAAATATTCTCTAAGCAAAGATATATACGATTTCCTTCTCACACATTTTGAATGAATTATAGTTAAATTCAAATTCCTATTTATTATTCTAGGAAAAAGAGTGAAAAGAACTCCTAAATATTAGAAAAATAATAAAATACTTAGTCTTAAATATTAGGGAAACAGTTAAATTACATTTTATCTAATGTGAAGCCTATTTTAAAGGGTAAAAAAGGCAAACGACATTTCGTTAAGGAGTTTCGTGCTTTTAATATAGATACTTTCAAGTGTTTGAACAGGAGGTCCAAAACTACATGTCTTTCGTATGAAACCAATTCTACTTGAATTGTTTCTCCAGACTTAAGATTCTCATATATATATTTAGCATTATCATAGATGTAGTCGACGAACATCTTATATCGGTCTCAACCTCTTTTTCTTCATAAAAACATAATATAGAGATCTCTTCATTCATATTTTTAGGTACCTGAACCTCTCCTGAGATTTTATGAAATGTTATGTCATGTGATTTCTAAATCATTTTTCTCCATATTATGATCATTTGATCTATCTTCTTTATCAAGAATTTTATTTAAAATCGATTTTTCTATACGCATTAAGCGTACCATAGATTTTGTTCTTATAGGACTTATTCTGATAGAAATATTTGCAGTGAGAATATAGTTACTTTCTTTGGGTCAGCAAATGCTTCTGGCGTGCTTGACATATATTGCATATGAATTATCTTTTTTGAACACCAACTTCATATAATTTTATTCGAGGATCTAGATGTATAAATGATAATTCATTCCACGTAACTTTTTCTCAACTGTTTATCTTATCTACCCCTCATGTTAGAAAAACTAACTTGCTTCCTCAACTTTGAAAACATACCTTTGTGTATTATGTAGTTAATCAAAATACACACATCAATAATAATAAGATGAAATTATTCGGTCCAGGCCCTAAACCACTTATGAGGGGGGAATATAATATACTTTTGCTATAACGTATATCAAACTTATATAGAAAACTTTATTCTCATAAGCAATAGTTTAGTTATTAAGTACAGGCACACAATAAATCATTTTGCTTACCCATCTATGATCTAAACCAACTTATCAAGATGAACTGTCTCGATTAGAAAATCTAAAAATTATGCTCTAAATTA